GGTCATTGGTGTGAGCCTGCCCTCCATGGAGGACCTGTACACCTCATGGGTCAAAAGGAGGGCAGAGAGGATCACTGCAGACCACTCACACCCTGGACACAATCTGTTTGAACTCCTCCCATCTGGACGGCGTTACAGGTCACTGTGCACCAAGACAACCAGGCACAGGGACAGTTTCTTCCCCCAGCCCATCAATCTGATGAACACTTGACCAACAAACAATAGCGAACCACTTCCAGCTGCAACCATACACACTGACATAAGTCTGCTCTATGTGGCAGTGTCACATGGTTGTGTGTCCATACCGTTGGGGCAAAACAGGACAGCTCCTCCTCGCTCTCACTCTCTGTTTCAGCTCTTGGCTCATCACCTTCGTCAACCTCTTTCTTCACCTCTGTTAAAAACACACATGCACACTTTTAAAATGCCACCCTGCTGAAGAAAACCAATGACTGAAAGATCTGATTCAAAGAAGTAACAGCTCCTGGTTCTGTACTATACCGTTTGAATAAACCTACAGTACACTAAATGTAACATACTGTACATGAGAAACAGGATCTACTGTATGAATCCCATAGTGGTGCCCCTTACTCAGCTCTAGTCACATGGTTGACACATACTGCCCTTCAAAATAAGCCTTTTTACCAAACATAGTGCTCTTTTAACCACACCTGGTTTTAAAGTAATACATTTTTAGATGCTTTAATCACTAGTACCTTTTAACATCTTATTTATAATGTCTTAACCAATTCCTCAGTGGTAGTAACAACTTATTAATAAACAAACTCATCTTAAATGAAACCTGTCATTTGGACAGTTACAGGTAGCTTGTGAATTTGTCTCAAATATAAACATTTGTTAATAGAATGTCAATTATTTGATTATATTGTGTTATCCATCTGAATTTGCAAAATAATACTTCCCTCTGAAGCATACTGGAGTAGAAGTAAAGCTGCACAACATGAATGTACAGTACAAGTACCTCAAAACTATTTGCACTTGCACAAGCACTTGAGTTACTCACTGTCAAAAAGACTTAAGTGACTCTGACTTTAGTAAAAGCATTTATAAAAGTCAAGGTCTTGTAAATGCTGTGACATTGACTCATCAGAGGACACTATGAAATTCACCTGAGGACTGACATTTTGGAGAAAAAAATGTAACGGTATTGGATTTTCTAGACCTCAGCCATTTCAGAAACCTCTCACCAGTTGGCCTTTCTCCAAGTAGCCAGTTACCTCTGATATCTTATCCCAGCAACATATGGTCTCCTTGGGCCTCGCACTCCTGTACAGTATGCAGCAGAGGATCGATGACTAGAGCGGCCCTGACAGGCTGGGGCACGGGGTGGAAGAGGAGGGGGAGGAATCAGGGAGGCTTTAGCTGGGCTTATGCTTGACCCCCCTGACCTTACGAAGGACATTTGAAACCACATTACCAGGGGACAGTCAGCCACACTAGATGTCATGTCCCATTTTAAACAACTTGAGGAAACAGTTCATGTAAATAACTCGGTATACACAGTTGGCGGATCTGTTCTTATGCTCCAGGAGACTCAGCTACACCACTTTATCTCTCCTCCCTCTGTATAAATGGTACTGTTGAGTTTTCTGTCCTCCTTCCATTGTGTTTGTGGTAGAAACTTGTGTGACCTGCCTGGAACATCTTCCTCTGATCATATTTGCACTATGTTGAACTTATGTCATTCTGATAATCCAAACTAGGGGCGGCACAGCGGAACAGTGGTTAGCCCTGTTGCCTCACAGCAAGAAGGTTCCACATTCAAGCCTCGGCCAACCTGGAGCCTTTCTGTGCCAAGTCTGCATGTTCTCCCTGTGCCTGCGTGGGTTCTCTCCGGGTACTCCGGCTTCCTCCCATAGTCCAAAGACATGCAGCTTAAGTTGACTGGCGACTAAATTGCCCGTAAGAGTGTGTGTGTGTGTGTGTGTGTGGTTGTTTCTCTACATGGCAGCCCTGTGATAAACTGGCAATCTATCCAGGGTGGACCCTGCCTCTCACCCAATGTGAGCTGGGATTGGCTCCCTATTCAGGAATAAGTGGTTTAGATAATCCAAACTATAATCTTACAGTTACTGTCTACCCTGTGCACAGCCTCGGTTACTACTTTCCAAGAAATGTATCAACTTTCACTTTGCAGTTCATGTAGTTTTATTAACCAAGTTTTCCAATAGATGAAAAACAATGTAGCAAAGGACAATGTTACAGTAACTCAGTCGTTATTGTTTCTCAGAATTTCAAATCTCTAGTCAATTCAATTTGCTACAATCAAAATCTAGAACACATCCCTAACAGAATTAAAGCAAGCTGTTATGGTTTGTCCCCCTCACCAAGAGGGTGAGGGAGAACTATGGTAGGACTCAAGATTGCAGACCCAGGTGCTAGTGAAAAGAAAAGGGTTTAATGGAACAAAAACACAAAAGTAACAACATAACAGGGTCCATGTACATATACAATCCAGGTGGAGGAGGAGACCAGGACGACCAGGGAAGTAGACAGGCTAACGGCAGGAACCAGGAGAGTAGGAGAATGAGTACGGACAGGTGAAAAAGAAGAAAGC